TAGTAACATTTTAATTTCAGAAGTCAATAACTTACCAATTAAAAGGCTGCGTCAGCAGGAAATAAGATATACTGACAACCTATGTCTCTTAATTTGTTTTTCTTCTTGTTCACGGCAGAAGAGAAACAATTAAATTTATGGCAACATTTTGTCATATGCTACCTTCAAATTGGCTTGCTTCCTGAAATTAAAATGTTACTAGTTGGCTTTTAGAGAAGCAGCGAAATACACACACACACACACACACCACACACACACACACACACACACACAAACCAACACAAAGAAAGAAGCAGCCAAAATATAACTGCTGTCAACCTTACAGAGAGACCCCAAAGGAAACAGGATCACAAAAGCTAATTCTACTGTATTGTAAGTTACATTAACAGGAACTTACAAGTCTTTAAATTTTCCCGCCATCACCCTTAGAGTCCCTTCTGCACCTCTTCTGCCCATTATACAGCTGCAGCCTATGCTGCCTCTTCTCTGACCATTCCCTAGGCAGCATCTCTTTGCCCCATCTCAGGCTTTTCCCACAATACCATTGCAGGCACTTGTTAAATAAGGAATCCTTAATAGATTACTCCTCCTTAACAGAAGTTGAATTAAACTTTGGTTTAACAACTTATTTTCAGAGAGAATTAAAAACACTAATTATTTTCAGGCATCCAAAAAGGATGCATAGATTTTGAGCTTACTAATTGGACTCTCCCTGCTAAAGTAAAGCAATGACCCAGGGCCACTAATATTAAATATTTATGTCTCCAATATTTGGCTTACAGCCAACACATCTGTTAGGTATTTTAAACAAACCTGCCAGTAAACAATACAAAATCTTACTTCAATTGTTAATCCGTAATGATTTTATTGTAAATGGACTGTGAACTATGGGATATCCACTTGAATTGAGTCTCCCAGTGTTGAAATAGCAGCGTCTCATCCACACAATGCAAACAATTTATGGAGCAAATTTGATCTTCACAATGAGCATTTGATCAACCAGAAAGCTATTTTGCATTATTGTTCCTCTTCCTCGTGTTTCCTTTTAGAAGAAATTGTGTAAACTAAATCAGTACGTTCATGTGATTATGGTTTCATTATGCTATTATTTCCTGAATATGACTGATACGATTGGTGTGTATCATGTTACCACTGTGAGCTGCTCAGAGTTTTGATAATGGAATCAGCACAAAAGCAACCTGATACAGAACATATATAACTGTGGAGCAGGGTAATGTTGAGTCTGGGTTGTGGCTACCTATGGTGAAAAAGCAGTTGTTTACACTACTCGGGGCCAAAATGAAGAGATAAAATAGACCCCCCTTCTCATTTACTTTTACAAAGGCAATCCATGCTGGATTCCATGCCAGCATGGAAAAATATCTATGGTGGCCTCTTCTCTCAGTCTCAGGTGGATATCACATTTTTTTGCAAGAGCAATACCAGGTTCCATGAGCAAAGAGGGAATAAGTCAGGAAGGAAAAATAGGGAATATTTAGAAGCGATGGAAAAGATCAGAGTGGGAATGGCCAGCAATACCCATTTTTATCATGGCTTCAACTCTACTGTCCTTGGGCCCTATCTGTCCAGCCATACAATCCCTAATAGTCTTTCATAGGGTGGGGAATCTTTTCTCATCCTTCCTATAAGGACACTGTAGGGGACTTTAATGAATTCCCACTTAAAGAATGCGTGGCATGACAAAACCGCGCTCGTCAAAATCGCGGTGATAAAATCACGGCGCTAAAGCCGCGACGTCATCACCACGCGTCATCACCGCCGCGACAACAGCGCGGCAACAGAAGGGCGCTTTAAAACGGCGCCACGGCAGAAAGCCGATTTCATTTAAGGTAAGAGTTAGGATTAGGTTTAGGGGTTTGTTTTAGGGTAAGGTTTAGGGTACTGAGTGCTTGGGAATACGCGAATTTGCCCCCCGTGATTATGTCATCGCAGTAGGGTCGCGTTTTTCCTTAGTGCTTAGAATGGCGCGAATTAGTCTTCGCGCTTATGTCTCCGCGGATAAGGGCTTCGCGG